TCCTGGAAGTTGTAAACACTTCTGAATCCGCTTTTGGGGTCAGTGCTGGCACTTACATATTTTTAGAAAGGAAAAGAACCAGCTTTTTCCATGAGCAGCTTTCTCAATGTAGTATTTGATTTCTGGTTTGTGGCTATTTTTGAAGACTGTACCAGTGTGTTTAACTGGAGCTTTTGTTAAAATTTTAACTGGAAACTTTGCTTTACCCTGTTAGGATATGAGATTTTAAACATACTGCAGATGTTCACCTGTGCTATTACAGCATGATTTAAAATGACTAACTACTGTTTGATAGCTGTCGAAGCAATATATGGACATTTTAAAACTTGTTTTGAAGAACCTGAGCAAACACATACTTAGATATCCTGAAAGACTAGCCTTAGAGGTGGAGCACTAGGGAGAACAAGAAGAAAGAGAAGAACTTGACAGAAAGCTTGAATACTGGCTATGATGGCAGTGAGAATGCGTATAGATACAGCATTTGCATCATAACCTAAATATAGAACAAAAGGCTATAAAGCAGGACTTATTTTCTTGAACCAGAAGTGCAGCAGTGGTTGTAAAGTATTACTATGAATTAAGACAGTGCTGGGGGGGTGGGAGTGTGTGTGTGTGTGTGTGTATGTGTGTGAAAGAACCTTTGAAGGTCTGCCTATAATTACAGCATTGATTTACATCATTGATGACATCTAGCAAAAGAACTATAAGGAGTACAGATAATGAATTACTGAAGCTAGACAGAACCAGATCATACTGGCTTCATGGTACATAACTGGAACAGGATCTTGGTGTCATTTGAAGAATGAAGCCCAGCAACTTCATCCCTGCCCACTTCCCACCTGCTTTTATGCTATAGCTTGATTTAATGGGTCAGGTACAAGCTGTTGAGCAAGTCTCACTAGGAACTACCAGACCTTAACTGACCATTACTCATATAGGACAGGAAGGAGCTGAATCCTGGAAAAAAAATAATTTCTTCATTCTTAATGTATCCAGTAAGTGCCTTAACTAGGCTTTGACTTCTTGAATTTTCTATACTTAATCAGAGTGTTAGAAAGGGATAATATCTAATGTGGCAAAAGAAGTAGAGAGTGATACAACATTTAGTTTGTGTTATATGACAGAGATGGTAGCCGAGGCTTTAGAGTCATGTATATGTAGTTTACTACCTACTTACTGTATAAGAGTAGCCCAGAATATAGGTAGAAGGCAGAGAACATGGAAATAATATCCCAGTTTATTTGACACAAGCCACAGGAACCAATCTTTATCTCATTTATTATATCAAAAGACCAAATACCAACACAATCATGTGAAATTGCTGATATAACAGGAGAAACCTCTATTGTACAAGGATGTGGCTTCTTTGAATTTTTAGTAGTCTGATGAGACCACCATGATTTCTGTCTTGTCATGTGAGGAGAACTAGCTTCTAGCTATTGTTTCTCACAAAAGATCATCCTTACCATTCAGACTGCTAATTAAAATCTAGAGGCAGTTGGTGGTATTGATATGTAAGCTTTTGTGCATCATTTATAAAGGGCAAAGTTCTTACACATCTGTGGAACCTCTCCTTCTTAAGACTGGTGTAAGATAACAAGGCTTGTTGGAAGGCTGCTGGGATGCCTATAGTGTCATTCACTCCAGCGTTGGAACCATGTTGTTTGCACTCTGTTTCTCCAGCGTGTGCATGCACATACTGCCTAAAACTTAAAGAATAGTCTTAGACACAAATTGCAGCATGTCCACCGTAAGCACAATCCTTCCTCCTTTCACACTGAATGTTAAAGCTGCCTGTAGGCTGCATTCTTGATGCTGGCTGACCCATCTCATGGTTAGGAGAAAAGATAACCTTTGAATCTACAGCTATGTAAGATGGGTGTTTTAATAGGAAAACTGAAAAATGTTGCTACAGGTGGATGGAAGGAATTGTTTTCATGAAGGAAGAATTGTTAAAATGCTACTAGATTGAACACTTGCTATCAAGCTAAGTTTAACTGAAGGCCCATTCTGGACTCCTGGCTAAGTTTCTGCAAGAAATACTTTGTCCCAACGTGCTGGATTTTTGGCAGCGGCAAGGCTCTTAACTCCTTCTGGCTAAATGGCATTGGTCACTACTTTATACCTGTGCCTTAGTCTGACTCAATTATAGAAATGTCATTTACACGGGTACAAGCATTAGATTGTACGGGTAGTTAAATTAATTTAGAATGTACTTGTGCTTCTCAACACCATGGGTAATGATGCGTGGAAGCACAAAATAGTTGAGGGTAGAAGGGACCGCTGTGTTATCATCTAGTCCAGTACACACACCCATGCACCACCATTCAAAAATCTGTTAAAAATGGATATGCAACACTTTGAGCTACTCGTCATCTTTGTCCTGCATTTGAACTACAGCATGCATATAAACCATCACACAACTTTGAAGTGTGACCAGCACTCAAGAACCCCCAGACACATGAGTTAATTCTTTCACACATACAGACACTATGGAGTCCTTAAGGCTGAGGCTTTGATGAGCCCTTCCCAAAATCCCTAAAGCCCAGTTTGGGCTTTAGAAAGCAGTATAGACTAAGAGTCTTTTTTGTCCTTATTCTAGTGGCAGTTGCAGTACACATAAATATTTTGTATGCGTTTGAAAGTAACAAAACACTTCCTTTTAAACAGAAACAAAGACCCACACAATTCAAAAGGGCTTTGGCTATTCATGGTAGCAAGAGAACTGCTCTCTAGATTCAGTGAATGCACGCATACATTCAGTTTCCTGGTTTGCAAAGTAAGGCCTTTTCTAATTCCAGTCCTTTACTGGTTTGGGGGTGTGGCAGGGATTCTTGTTTGTTTTGGTTGTTGTGGTTTCTTGAGGCTGGGGGTGTGGGAGGGTTTTTTTTAATTAGTTGGGATTATTTTTTCAGGTTTTGGAGGGGGGGTTGGTTGGCTGGGTTTTGTTGGTTTAGTTTTTCGGGTTTTTCGAGGGGGGATTTTGTTTTTGTTTTGTTGGTTTGTTGTTGTTTTTCAGTGCATAACATACACACAAGTATGCACCTGGAATGAATAGCAGGTTTGTTCTCTGCCTTAATGTGATTATTTCTATAAATGGGCAAGTATTTGTAATTGATGAATTCAAATTGAATTCTTTTTAGTACTCTGACAGTCAACTGAATAAATACGTAAACAGTACTTAAGAGGGCAGGGAATGTATAACATTATTGCCTAACTAGTTACATATGGTTAAGGTTGCTACTCCTGACATATATTTTCTACTGTTCTTTGTCTATTTGACCAATAAAGGCTAGCTTGAACATGTTTTCCTAAAGGTGTGGGTCTGTAACTCGTGCTTGCAGATGCAAAGGCTTTTTCAGAGCTGTTGGCTTATTCTGCATTTGAAATACACAACCGTTTTCATTTGGATTTGGTTTTCAATATATATACATATATAGGTATATATATTTGTAATTTCTACTGCAAATTTTCAGGGATTAAAAATCCTGAGTATAAGGAATTTAAAGTAATGGGATCATAAAAGGCAGGGGAAGGAAAAATTCCATCAGCAAGTGGTAAGGCATTTCAGAATACTTTCTGTGTATGAAAATGAGTATCACACTGTTTTCATTGTTAACAATTCAATGTCATGGCTCATTTGCACAGTGCTTGCTTTTTTCAGGCTTAATCTGTTGTTTTTGTGAAGGACTATATTATTCCCTGGGAACCTGAAATTAACAATAATGGAAGGCTCAAGAGATGATGCAGCAAACATCTGTACTTGCATGTAGGTTAGAAAGTACTTTTATTAGTTGAGCACAGCAACTTCACCAGCCTGTATATTGCTTAGCTGCTTCACTTTGTTGCTGACCTGTAACTGACTGACTCCTATTTGCTACTGGGAATTGTGGTACTAGCATCTGACTGAAAACGGAGATAATTTTCTGCATAATTATTTATAGCTCTATTAGGTATTATGTAAATAATGTTTACATAAATGGAAACTGTTATGTAAACGTTTTATGCAGAGTGTTATCAATCTGGAATGTCAGTTTAAATGTCTTTGAATGGTAGCAGACTGCTTTGTAATTTAATAATAGTTTAATTGTTAAGACCGTTGCTACATTTGTGATCAAAGAATCTTTACCATTGAACAAAAGCTGATGTATTACCTTTGGACTTAAATGCTGATGTATTACCATTGTTTATTACCATTACCAATGTCATGTGACAGCATGTATGGTTTGTATTTTAGATATGACATCCAAATAGAAACAGTCCTATCACATCTGAAACTGTTTTAAGTGCTCTTTATCACTTTTGTGAAGAAGAAACTTGATTTATTCCTTCATCTGTAATAAACTATACATTTGACTCCGTTTCTTTCTTGCACACACAGGACTAATGACTTTCAAATTTAGAAAGTAAAAAAACAAGAAATCAGGATGTAGCACAGAGCATTGCTTTTTCCATTTGAGTTTTCTGAAGTGCTGTATCATACCTATGAGATTGCTGTTTGTGTCTTAAGATTTACCCATCTTCGACAAAAGCCATAATCTAGCATTGGTTTATGTCTCCAGGAATCTTTCAGACTTTTGGAGACTTGCTTCAGTTGGAGATCTTGACTCTGTAAACTAACACTACAAAATAGTTTTCCTCCCTTTCTGGCTAAGTATATATTCTTACTGTCACCATAACCTTGCAATTCCTTTTGAAAAAGCAGTCATCTTGCCTGAAGTATCAAAGATATTCTCGTAGGAGCTACAACCCTTCTTATGATTTAAATGCATTCCTAGCTACCTTGACAGCATTAGAAAAAAAACCTTAAATCCATGAAAGCCAAGATTTCATCTCCGTTTGGGATTAAGACTTAATTCTGTGGTCAGGCATCCCAGAAATAACAGCCACACAAATGTCAAGTACTGCAGTCTGAAACTGACCTTACCCAGGCTGCATCGTACACTTCTTCACTTTAGAATGCACCATCAGGAAAAGGTATAGTGAAGCAAGGAAATTTGTTTATTTATAAAATTAGATTTTATTTTACATCTTAGAAAAAAAGATGCTGGCCCCAATGCAATTAATATTCTCACATGACCATTACAGTCAGTACATCAGGTTAAAAGAATTCAGGAACTGAAGAAATAAGAGCAATTCATGATGCTTGCTATAAAATCCTGAAATTCTTTGGGATCCTAAGAAGGCCATAACCCAGTTCGCTAATACAGAAGCAGCACTCGATATGCCTCTCGCTTTAAGTAGGAATATTTCTGATATCAGCAATCATGGAGACAGAACCCAGGCAAAGGCAAAACCTGCAATCACAAAGTGAAGAGAATCAATGCAAGTTAAGTAGGAAAAAGTAAATTATGTTCGAATCAATCAAGAAGGGGGGGGTGCAGTTTTCACGTTAGATTTGCGCACGGTTCCACTACCGTACCTCTGCCAGAAGGAGAGAGAATATGCGATTTTATGTCAGTATGATAAACGCTAGTGCATTTTTTATCATATTAATAACAACAGGAATATTCTTAACAAACAGAACTTGCCAAAACCTCGGGTACGAGTCGGAAGAGGGGTAACCCAGCAGGCAGCGAGACTGCCCAGCAGCCACGTGTCGCCTGTGGGGAAGCGCCGGCCCGCCCGTCCCCGGCCGCCGCTCCAGCAGGGGCGCGGCGGCGCGGAGTGATGACGTTGTGATGCGCGGAGTGATGACGTTGTGATGCACGGAGTGATGACGTTAGGATGCGCCGGAAGCCGCCTGATCGTGAGAACGGGGGTCCGGGAGCGTTTTCTCTCCTTTGCCGGCGATTCGCCTGGCGCGGGCTCGGCCCAGCCCTCCCCTCCCTTCAGCGCCGGGCGGTCGTGAGGCCCGGGTCTCGTCTTCAGGGTGAGCCTTCTGTCGTGGGTGCCTGCAGACTGTGGCGCGGGCTGCGGAAGTGCTGAGAGCCGGTGCTGCCGAGGGAGCGATGGCCGCAGGGAAGCACCCGGCCGTGCTGGGCTCCGGGAGTCCGCGCAAACCGTGGCGACTGCCCGCCGACGGACACCCCGCGCCGGGCTGCTACCTGAGGTGAGCGACGCGGAGCTATTGGCAGCAGCGGCGCTGACTCTGCAGTCCGCCGTGCTTTTTGCTTGTGGAGGGATATTGGGAGCGGGCGCGGGGAGTGGATGGGGCTGGCTGTGTAACACCTGGAAAAGAGGCTCGAGCACCGGTGTCAGCGGCGTCACAGCAGCCCCTAATTTCAGTATTAGGTTCCTGTATTGAATACAACAAACGCCTTTGGGGGTCACGGAGTTTTTATTCGTAGCCGGCCTATTAGAATTTTTTACTTGGTTTAAAGAGAACACGTGCCTATTTGAGCAGCAGCTATATTCACTGCCATATGTGCTGAGGATAGCAGATAATAATACTGCTGTATGCAGTAACAGTTACTGTAATGAACTTGTGAGGCAGCTGCCTCTGTGAATTTGATATCCAGAACCTTCTTGTGTGTTTTACCAACGATTGCATGCCGTGTGCAGCCCTTTATAGTGACGACTACACTTTTCTGTACTCCTATGCTCTGTTAAGAGGTGTCCTCTATGTTCTTATTCTATTATGGTAAAATATCTGTATAGAAATAAACATGTTATTGAATCCCACTCAGATACCTCAATTCTTTCAGTTTGAGAGTGCTGTGAAATTCAGGCAGCTGTCTAATGAATTCTACCTTTCAGAGAAAATAAATAAATAAATATTATTTTTTAACAGTTTACCTGATGTTTATCTTGTTAATCAATGGTCCCAGGTCACTGAAGAAACTTGAGATGTCACAGGATAGTATAAGTGCATACAGACTGTAGTTCAGGAGGTGGTATTCAGTTTCACGGTTAAGTCTCAGTGGAAATAAACTGAGAAAAAAGGGGAGGGAAAAAATCCAACAGGATTTAAAAAACGGGTTTAGGTGAATGTGGTGCAGATACGTCAAAAACTGATGCTTGACCAGCACAAGCTCAGGTCTTCACATGGGCCAAACAGAAATATGACTGACGTATCCTCCAACACAGTTTGTCAGACATCTCTTTTATATATTTTTAAAAACTAATTCGTTACCTGCTTTGTATTTAAACAGTTCAGGACACAGATATAAGTATATTAGGTTAGTAATTAGCTTATCATTCCGCTTATGTGCTTTGTTTTTTTCCTTTTATCAGAATAATCCATGAGTAAACTCTAAAACAGTGTTTATTTGCTGTAATAGGTTTAAAACTTAAACTAACCCCTACCTTATTGGACTAAGAATTTGAAAGTGTTAATCTAAAACAAGAAATATGTTAACATTCATAATGAATGCTAACGTTCACTAGCTACATGCAATTTACTTATAAGTCTTCTGTAAGACAAATGATAGTTCAGGGTGCATGCAAATGCTTAGTCCTAACCTAAAGAATATTTTAAAATGCATTTGGTCTCTTCAGTCTATGTGTTAACTTGTTAACTTATGTACCAGTAATAAAGATGTGATTCGTACCTTATTTTCTGAACGGAACTAATACAGTATTTTGATGTATCACAGGTAAATTTTTCCATAACCTTATGGAGAAAAAGGACTTTGAAGCATGGCTTGATAACATTTCTATTGCATTTCTTTCTCTGACGGACTTGCAGAAAAATGAAACTCTGGATCACCTGATTAGCTTGAGTGGAGCAGTCCAGCTCAGGCACCTCTCCAATAATCTAGAGATTCTCCTCAAGAGGGACTTCCTCAAACTTCTTCCATTGGAACTTAGTTTTTATCTGTTAAAATGGCTTGATCCACAGACCTTACTCACATGTTGCCTCGTCTCTAAGCAATGGAACAAGGTTATAAGTGCCTGCACAGAGGTGTGGCAAACTGCATGTAAGAATTTGGGTTGGCAGATAGATGACTCTGTTCAGGATCCTCTGCATTGGAAGAAGGTTTACCTAAAAGCTATTTTAAGGATGAAGCAACTGAAGGACCATGAAGCCTTTGAGACATCCTCTTTAATTGGACACAGTGCCAGAGTATATGCACTTTACTATAAAGATGGACTTCTGTGTACAGGTAGGAAGGACAGACAACTTGGGAGTCTTAAAATTCTTTGTCTTCTCTTCCCCCTCATAAGATTAATGACAATTTGCTTTTTTTTACGGACAAATTATTTTCATAATACGAGTACAGATGATGATTCTAAATTACTTATTTTTTTCAATTTCTGAAACACGTGGTGTACTGATAAACTCATCAATCACTTTAATAAGAACATAAGGAGACAGATGACTTTGTTGGATAAGATATAGTAACAGCAGGCATCATTGTCCCTTCTCATGGTAGGGTGGTTGGAACTAAATGATTTTTAAGGGTCCTGCCAATCCAGATTGCTCTATTCTTTTGATCATTCTGTTACTATAAGTAAACCTATTTGAGAAGTACAGATATGTTAGCTATCCTCTTAGACAATGACAGCTTTCAATTAAAAGGACTTTGTGCTGTGAGAGAACTTCAGTCTCTAGAAGTGTGGAAGAAAAACTTGTATCTTCTTCCTTGAAAAAAGGCTGTAAGCACTTTCAGTTCTTAACGTTAAGTGCTTTATGAAGTGCTGTAAAACTACATTTAGCCTTGTTACTAGTCTGACTTGCACATAATTTCATCTTTCTCCCTGAAGAGTATAGACTTCAAGATTTCAGTTTAAACTTAAGTTACAGACAGAACATATATAAAGCCTTAGTATGAAAGAATGATAACAGAGTTACAATGAAGTGCTGTCAGAGCATATTCCAAGGATTTTCCAATCATTTGGAATGGCAGTGTTATACACTAAGTTGGGAATACTGACTTCAGTCGCTCATTCGTTGGTACATTTGAATGCTTACTAAAAGCCAACAACTACATTCTAGCCAGTCTTTCACTTACCTACTCAGCAGTGAATGTTAGACACAGAAAACAGCATTGTCAAAACTTTCTGACAACTTTTGTACTGAAACCCCGGGAGAAGAAGCAGGTGTAAGGAGTCCAGGGTTTCATTTTGCTCTCCAAAGATAGCAGTTTAAACAAGAGGAGCTTCAGGTAAAGAAAAGAAAGTGGCAGGATATGGGGCCTGGTATTCATTTGTATTTCAAAATTTGGTGGGTCCCTTTCCTTCCTGAAAGAAACTAAAGCTTGCAATATAGTCAGTGGCTCTGCAAACCTGAGAACGATGTGTCATGTGAAACTTCCATGCATCTGTTTCACAGTAGACACTGTCAGTCAGAGGTACCAATCTTGCAATTGTCCTGTTCCTTTATATTCTAGGATCAGATGACTTGTCTGCAAAACTGTGGGATGTAAGCACAGGTCAGTGCATATATGGTATCCAGACACACACTTGCGCTGCAGTGAAGTTTGATGAACAAAAGCTTGTAACAGGATCTTTCGATAACACTGTAGCCTGTTGGGAATGGAGCTCTGGGGCAAAGACACAGCATTTTAGAGGACATACTGGTGCAGGTATGTTGAAATTTTAAAATTGTAATTTCACTAGTGAAGTAACATACATCATCATCAAACAAAATGTAATTTAAGTTAGCTTTTTGCACAGTAGCTTTTTTGGTTGTTCAGCCTCTGTTCTCTGTCACCCGAGTCACCTCAGTTCCCCTTGACAGGGGAAGCGACCAGAACAGATACACGCTTGTCCTCGAATATGTCAAGGCTTAGCCAACAATGTAGTGCATGGAAGTAACAGTAAATGCCATGGTTATTCAGTAGCTTCAAGTAAAGAGGTGCAAATCTTAGGTAGCAGCAGGGCGTACATGGCCATGGCAATTCTTCGCAGACTGGACATGAACATAAAGCAAAGAGCAAAAAAGGACCTGGTATTTGCATTGCCCTCATAACTAAATTCTTTGTCGTGTACTTAGAAATATCAGCTCAGCTGTATTTTTTTCCCTTTTATCTATAAAATGTACTGATCCTGTGAATTGTCTTACTAAAACTCTGAAAATAGGAACTAGGTTAAGTTACACTTTGCTATAACCCAGCCATAATGGAACCACTGATATACATGCTCTTAATTTGGGCAAAAATCCCCAGTAATTTTGCAATGTAAACTCAGGTATCCAGAGCAACAATTCATGTATAGACCTCAAGAACAATTAAAGATACAGTAGCATATTAATTTAGAAGTTGCTAAATTCATATAAAGGCTACTAGTGTCTCACAGAAAAAAGCATGCATAGAGACTGGTATTCCTTATTTAGTTCCATCTCTGTTTGAAGTTTTTAGTGTGGATTACAATGATGAACTTGATATTCTGGTCAGTGGCTCTGCAGACTTCACTGTGAAAGTATGGGCCTTATCAACAGGAACGTGCCTGAATACCCTTACTGGACACACAGAATGGGTCACTAAGGTGAGAATATTGATTTTAATTAATCTCACACATTTATTTGCACTAAATTTGTAACATGCTCTAAATTTTTATTTCCTAATCCTGCAGGTAGGTTTAGAATCTGAAGAACATGTGGAAATACTACAAAATAACATTTCAACAGAAAAGATAATTT